CTATATGTCAGTCATCATCTGAATACCCATGCCAACAAAAGGAATCACCGTTTCAATTACTGTTTATCTCTGAATTTCCACTAGAAGTCGCGATTTCAATGCATAAATTGGATAGGTGTTATCCCACAGATAATTTATGCGCGGACTGGTTCGTATTTCTAATGTAATAAGATTCACCTTGAATAAAGTATGAAGCGGCTCTGAACGGGCCATCTTAACGTTAAGGAAAACATACGGTGCGCATCGTCTGTGGCCCTTTCATGGACTCGGTACATCGCTGCCATCCCGAGTCCTCAGTGAAAAGCGAAAGCGGCGCAGCGACTCGCGGAGAGAGAGAGGAGGGAGGAGGAGAGGCAGAGAAAAACAACGCTGTCTCCCCCGTCTTGTCCGCTGACAGGCGTCAAACAGCACACATGGTGAAGTGATTGAATTGTTGTCCGGGATCCTGGGAAGAAGGAGTCGTGGTTCTCCTTCCTCGGGTCTTGCTGTGGAGATGTAACGACTAAGGCTACAGGAGAAATCAATTTTTAAAAAAAAGCCTTTTGCAACGTGGAAACAAGCGAAAGCATCCAATTCTTTGTCATTCCTATAGCCGTAGTTTGCTTTAGCCGGTCTTCGTCTATTTTAATTTGATTGCTTTTGAAAATCAGAGTTTAATAGGTTGCATGTCATAAATTTGTCCTTTACCTTGTCTCGATGGGAGCGTCATGATCGACTCACAAGAAATTTCTCCCTTAAACTGGCCCAGCCCCGTGACTAGGGGGGACTCGCACGTCGCAAAACAAACACGCCTGACTTCTTTCCTATGCTGTTATTTAGAGTGATGCCAAAACATGTGGGTCAGTCTGGACTGAACCGAACTGTCTCCTGCAGCTCTCTCAATGTCAGCGGATATGTGACAAAGTGTCTTTTATTTCCTTAAGTGGATATAACACTGAATTTAGCAGAAAAGATAACATTCTGCTCCTCGGGAAATGTCTTCGGAATTTTCGGATACTATTTTCTGTATGGAAATTTATGGGATTGCGGTAATCAGATACAGTAGGCGACATCTCAGAAAGCATCCAGAATCTCAGAGAGGATCAAGACTATAAATAAGCTGAAACAAATAACGCACAAGTCACTGACCAGCTACCCCGCAAATAATGCAACGCAAGCCTTAGCCGGAATATCAGAATTCGTGACTCTAAGAACACGCCAGACGGTTTAAAATCTCCAAAATGTTTAAACGAGGTAAGTGCAAAACTTTATGCTGATGATAGACCAAAATATAATGCATTTGTTTATCTGGGTCCTTCCTGTTTAAGATGTGTTGGAGTCTTAATACGTTGCATACGTCGCGGCATCGCAGCGGATCGTCCGGCTGTGCGGATGCCTCGGTTTTGGAGACTGAAAGTAGGCTGGTCACGGGCTTTTTTGGGTGGAGATTTGGAGAAGCCGGCACGCTCGGACCGGCGCTTTGGGAATTGCGCTGCGCTTTAACTCCAGCCAAGAGCTGGCGCTCCACGTGAAGCTAATGTTTATCAGTCCCATCGACCATTATTCCGGCGCATGGAGCGCCGGTGCCGCAGTGCAGCCGAGGAGCCGCTTTTTTGGCTGGTATGCCCCACGCTAAATGATCCGGCTGCCTGATTTATCATCGCGGCGGTCGAGCTATTCTCAGGCGCTAGGCGAGGGGAGTGGGATCGCGCTCCATGGGGGGTATTTCTGCACTTCAGGGATTAGAGGGAATATGCTTCTCTGGAGAAACCATGAGTTTTCTTTGCAGCCTATTCTGTAGCACGGTGAGGGAGCGAACTATGCGTGCGACGTATGTGAAAAGCGCACGATGAAACTTGAGAGAAAAACAACAATAATTCTTGCGGGCTAGAAATGCGCTGGGGAAATTGTATTACAGTTCGTGCTGAAGAAAGTGTTCATTAAATGATTAGCATCCCGCAGTACTGAATTTTAGCTTTAATTAGGCTGCGAACATATCCAATCTGCTCTCCCCATACACACACCTTTCTACACACAATAAATTAGAATTAAGATAATACCTTTACCGGTATCATGTGAAAACGATGGGCTGACCTTCGGGGGCTTATATAAACGCTGCCTTTTAATGTGTTGCTAAGGTTTCACATCGCGAAGCACTATGGCACCATATAAATATTTTAGTACGTTTTCAATTTGAAAGCCATGCGCTGTATTAGACTTCTCTGCAGTTTTTCTAACATGGTTGACGCTTCTCCAAACAGCGTTTTGAGCTTTAGGTCACTCGTAGATAAGCGGGATCGGGATTTTTTACTCGGTTGTGACAGTTCTGCCACTGTGATTGTCATGCCGTCCCTGCCAGCAGGGGCAAAACAAGTTAGCTGACAAAATGATTTAAAACAACGGTTTCTGTCACTTTACTCTAATGACAGGGGAAAGGTGGGTTTCCGCTCCCTGTTCCTTAAACTTCTCCGTGCATTTAAAAAAATCAAGTATAACCAGCGTCCTTCAGCAAGACGGTCACGATTCCATACTCGTAGGGGCCCGGAGCAGCATCCCCGTCCTCTTATAATACACGCCATTTAACAGACGGATGAGACAGTTTTCGGTCTGTCTGCGAAAACACATTTCAATGACTTGAGGCGATTATGCTACTCGGGTTTCTTAACACGATGCGCGCTACCTTCGGTTCACGCCTGCCAGTGTGATACTTCAAAGTTGCGTCGCTCATTACACCTATGAATAAGTGATTTAAGTTTTCGCCTTAGAGATTTCGAAGCTTTACACGTGAGTGCTGTACCCCTTACATCCCACCCCCAAAGCTTGTCCACTTATTAACCGGCAACCACAAAAGCAAAAATACCAGATGGGTTGTGGAGGATTAGGGTTGCCAGCGTTTACGGGAGCAGTAGTGAAGTGCAGGCTATTGCTTTTAGCGGCCTTCTGACGCTATGATGCAATGAGTGCTTTTTGCTAGCAATCGTTGGAATCAACATATTGAGGACAGGCCACTCGTGCATGTATGTGAACTGTGTGGGTATCAGTGTGTGTGTGATATAGGCTGTTCACACCTTTTCTGCCGTGAATATCTTTAAATATGATCATTGTGTATATACTCTGCGAGCTGATCATGCGGTCCCAGTCACACACAAGGCGTGTTTAGAATGCAAAGCTGAACGAGTTTCATGGTAGGGCAACAGGTCCCATCCTGGCATCCTTTGGTGGGTGTTTTTGGGGATCCTGGGAGGGCACCGGTGTTGGAATTTTGTCAGAGGTCTTGGGGGGGGAATCTTGGTGGGCAGTTGTTTAAATGTGGGTGGCAACAGTGGAAGCGCCTGACCGGGGGAGTGCGTGAAGATCTGTTGGGTGGGCAGATGACCCATTTAGGTGGGCACTGCCCACTCTGTGATTGCCAGTATCCACACCCCTGCACCCTGCCATTTGAGCCTACAATACTTGGGGAGCAGCACTGTAATGAATATGCCAAACCTGATTGAATGTTTCAGTAGGGCTTCTTGGCCAAATTTTTTTATGACCACTGGAGGATTGGGGGGGGGGGATTATGAGCAAAGGGCCAAACAGTTCTTATATGCCATGTGATCGTGTGAGGTTCTGGACCCCCTCAAACACATTGGCAGCAGGTATTTCAGTGGCTCTGGGGCTACAGTCTGCAGTTGTGAGCTAAAGTGACTTCATGCTCTATAAACAGGTAAAAACAGAATGTGTGAAGCATTCTGGGTAACAGCAGCAGCTACGTGCTAGAGCAGAAGCTTCTGTTCCTCCTCGGTGTCCATCTCAGAATCGGCAATATCCGTCTCCAACACGCATCACGCGGCTCGTAAGGTGGGACAGATTGACAGGGGCCTCGCCGCCGGTCCCCAGCTAAACAGCAAGATGGGATTTTGGCATGAGTTGGTCTTGTCAGGTTCCTTTTAAACAATCTGTGTATTTTTGGGTGCCTACTAGGGTACGGCATCATTAAGAAGAGCCTAGACAGCCTGTCACAGCTGCTGGAGATCATCACTCAGCCCTGCTGAGCTACACTTTAAACTCTTTTTAGTGTTACCCCCACCCCCATCTATTTCCTCACACAGGATGTAGATCATGTGCCGTTTAGTGTCCCTTCACAAACCAGGGTCTATGGCTGGCCTTGCCATTCGCTCTAATGCCGCAATTCAGTTTATCCTGAACGAGCCACATTCAGACCATCGCCATGACGTCCGTTGAGACGTAACCTCAGTTACCACGCCCTGGTCTCCCGTGTCGGATGGACCCAAACCAACTGGACCCAAGCTGATGTACAAAGGATCCGGTCATGGCCTCTCTTGTTGACCGCTGGAGACAGGATGTGCTCGGCAAGAGATTCGGGGGCTTCTCTGCCATGGGTATCCCCTCGATCCCTGAGCCAGTTTCAGTTTCACTTTTTCTTGAGGCAAAAGCACATAGTTGGAGTAGGGAGAGGTTTCGATGAAGAAGTGCGCTCATCCAGCTATTCCAGCCGTCCTCTGTGGACTGTAGCGTGTGCCAGTCCCCTGGTGAAGATCTCTCTGCTCTGCTGGGCTTTGCAGTGTAAATACAGCACATTGCGGCTCCCCAACATGGCGCCAAACTGGGGTCGGCTCCAGCTTTGCTTGACGCAGACCCGGGACTGGGGCAGAGGAGAGGCTGGGTGAACCAAGACCTTAGCTAAGGCATGATCTGCGCTCCAAATACACACAGGAAGATGATTGACTGGCACCAGACTTGCGTGATTGTTCCTCCTTCCTCAGCTTAACAGAGTATGATTTAAACAAACAAACAAAAAGCACCCTAACAAAATCAGGAGGCGCATGGTGATGCGGAAGCATGCCCCTTCTTCTCATTGGTGGGCTGCTGCTGCTGTGGGTGTGTCCCCAGCCTTCACCTAATACAAGATTCACCAGACAATATGCCTCTTACTGCCATGTTAGAAAACACACTTCATTCCCTCTTACATGTGCTCAGCGAAGCCTTTGATCTCAAAAGCCTATACAGAGCTCACAGCTTCCACCATTTATGGATCCACACTGACATGAGTCAGAAGGACCTTTTTGAAAGGTTCAAAAGCAAACTTCTCCTAGAACCTTTAAGCACTTGAGGTAATAGTGTAGGTATTTAACCAAAGCACCGTCAGTTCTCTGTTGACTGCCAGACACACCAATCTCAAATCAAGATAAATATGTCCATTGGTGGCAAAATAATTTGTATATCTTATACATTTTTAAAAACCTCAAATCTCTTATTACGGGTCAAAATCTCAAAGGCTGGACAGCACAATTACAGGACCAGGGCATCTATTAGGCAGCGTTCGGGAACATGGCTTTTTATCGTCTCTTCGGTCTTTTACCAAGCCTAACAGCTTTTGCTGCTCAGATGGTCTGAAAGCTAAAATGATTCATCATATTGCAATTATGTAACCATGCAATTACACCAGAAGAATCCATTCAGGATACTGCGGGTTTGAGCTGGTCCAGCTTCAGACCAGACCTGAGGTGATCTTGAGATGGATCGGTGAGTCCAGAGTGGAGACACAAACCCCTCTGGTTTAGGGAATAATGAGTCTTGCGCTGCACTCGGTGGGAAGTTCTGTTGATGACGTACAGCTGGGAATCCGGACCACATTTACGCTCACCTGGAAGTTCTCAATGGGTGGTCGAGACACCAGCTACCCAAACCTGTGGTCTTTAGGCGATGGCTGTGCCTTGAGTGGTCTGCAGCCTCATTTACTAAAGGGATTATACCCAGAGCGTTGCAACATAAAAAAATATATAAGGAAAACGACCCAACTGGAGATGCTGTCTGGGTCACATCGGCGTGACAGACGGACCTTTCAGGAGATGGCAGCTGTGGTCAAACCTCGAAATGAGGAAGACAGAATTCTTTCTGGGAAGGAGGCCTGCATTTGACATGTAAAAACCGGCCCTTCCTGCTCTCTGTAGCCTGTTTTTTTTTCAGCTTTCGCCACACTAACGGAACTCCAGCACACACGCCAGGGCCCACTGATTACATCCTGCTATCGATTGCCTCTCATTCGCTATTAGATACCCGTATTGTGTCCGTGTTCCCTGACAGGTACGTGGCTCGAGGTAAAAGCTTTGCTTAACGCGTCGATGTAAAATCGGGTGGAACTGAAAGGACTTGTATGGGAAAATTGCTTTTCTGAAACGTTTAACGATAAGCCCGTAATTAGCTGAGGTCACAGAGCGCCGGTCATGGGGAAGGGGGAACTGAGCTGGGTA